CGTCCACTGATAGGAGACGCGGAAGGTATTAAACTGATCAGAACAATACTAAACACACCACAAATAAGGTTTCTCTCCTGTATGGCTCCTCAAATGATGCTTAAGATTAGAAGCGGCTGAAAAGCATTTCTCACACTCAGAACAAAATATATTTTTTTAACATTCTCTCCACTTTGAACGAAATGACGTTTGGGAAGAGATTAACATAATTAAACACAGGCGGTAAAAATACAGTTTTTAGCCATACCCTGTAACTTTAAAACTACACATCCCATCTTCATAATTACATATTTGGAATCAGCACACTTAAAACATAAACATAACCAAAAATCAGCCAAATCCATCCAGGGGTTAAAAAGTTAGCTGGAGGTCCTTTTATGACCGACGGCAAGCACATTTTCCTGCCCAAAACAGTTCCATAGATTTGGGCTGTGAGGTCGGTCTATTTCAGGCTGAAAAAACGACTAAGTCCCATCGCGAATGGGACTTAGTCTCTGCAGCTGAAATAAGGCTGAAAAGCGCGGCTGAAAAAAGGCCCAAGTCCATCGCTTGAATGGGACTTAGTCTCTGCAACTGAAATAAGGCTGAAAAAAGCGGCTGAAAAAAGGAAGCTAAGTCCATGCGCTTGAATGGGACAATCTGCGAGCTGAAATAAGGCTGAAAAAACGACTAAGTCCCATCGCCGAATGGGACTTAGTCTCTGCAGCTGAAATAATTTCCCATTTACTGAACCAAGTGGGAAATAGCAAGGCAGGCACAAAGGGTTTGCACCAGGTCTGGGGACACAGGAGACACCGCCTTAAAGGGGCAGTGTCCCAATCTTCCTGATGTCCCAAAAAAGGTGTTTAAAGGGCCAGCACCAGTCACATAAAGAGTCCATAAGCCCCAATATGCCCATCGACAGTCTTAAAGGGCCATACACACCAAATAAAAGTGCATACATTTTCACAATCTCCCAGGGGCCATAGTCATGCGGGATGAGGCTGGCAAATAGGCTTCTCCACAACACAGGGAAGCAGGGCAATTTGCCATTTAAAGGGCCCGTTACAAATAGCAGTTTGTAACAAGGTGTCAATCCATATCTGCCAAGTGACCCGATGTAGGGGGACCAGTCCCTATTCTGCTCTGTGTCAGTGTGTATCAGGGAACCTTAGGACAGGTGTCAATCCATATCTGCCAAGTGACCCGATGTAGGGAGAACAGTCCCTATTCTGCTCTGTGTCAGTGTGTATCAGGGATCCTTAGGACAGGTGTCAATCCATATCTGCCAAGTGACCCTATGTAGGGGGACCAGTCCCTATTCTGCTCTGTGTCGTGTGCATCAGGGGCTCTGAGGACAGGTGTCAATCCATATGCAAGGTGTCAATATGTCATATGTCAGGTGTCAATCCATATTCATTGTGATTTAGGAATGTTAGGTGATTTCTGCCCTTTATGGATTAAAACCAGACTCTGTATCAACTGTGTAATTTTCCATGGGAGTTTTGCCATGGATCCCCCTCCGGCATGCCACAGTCAGGTGTTAGTCCCCTTGAAACAACTTTTCCATCCCTATTGTGGCCAGAAAGAGTCCCTGTGTGTTTTAAAATTCGCCTCCCCATTGAAGTCAATGGCGTTTCGGGCGTTTCGCCGGTTCGCGAACATTTGCGGAAGTTCGCGTTCGCCGTTCGCGAACCGAAAATTTCGTGTTCGCGACATCACTAGTGCTAAATAGGGACCAATGGAAACCAGTAGAATACCCCTGACCATTTATCACTTTGCACCCAGAAAATCAACTGTTTTGCCTTGATAATTCTTCCCTATAGGTTTCACTTTTTAGAAATGCAGTTGCCTTCATGAAGGTCACAATACCTAAATTAGTAGTATTTTCTTACTGCACACCAGAGCAGGTTTAACTATAAGGTGGCCATAGGCAGCCACCTAGGGCCCAGTGCTAAAATAGGAGCCTTGGAACCAGGAATGTGCTTGGCCCAAATTCACAATTTCTATGTGATGCATAGTACATGCATTGTAATGTTGCTAGATGGCTGGTTATATTATATATGTAAAGATTTAAAGTGAAGAAGAGATTTCAATACGAAGTAGAAAATTTGTAAATCATTTCAAAGCAGCTATGTCACCTTCTGGGGTCTTCATTTGATTTTGAAGGACACCTGATGGTGATTTTGCTGCATGGCTGGTTTGGTGCAAGGGAAGGGAAGATTTACTTACCTGAACTAGCCCACGCTGCAATTGTTATCTGCATTCAATGGACCCTCTTCATGGTGCTTGAACTGCCAGGAGCCCACATCAGTGCTGTACTCTTATGCTCGTGCAAGAAAACAACACTGAGGTCTATGGATTGAGAACGCGGGTGCCTCCATTGATATTGTCTCAAAATATGCAAGACAATGCCTTATTCCCCCAGTCGTTGCTAGAGACGGCTGGGGGAAGTGACACAACTTGAGAAAGGAAGCTCTTTTGCCTAGTTTTCTCAAGTGGGACAAAAATACATAAGGCAACATAGTCCCTATTTTGCCTTTTGTATTTTAGGAGAAAAATAATTGAAAAACAGAATGCAAGCAATAGAAGAGGATAGGACAGAAGCAAGGTCAGTATAGGATGACAGAACTGCTTTAAGGAACACTCCGGGCACCATATTATCTCAAACAAGGAGTTTTGAAAATTAAAGTTATACAAATGATTCATTTATAAATGGTTTTATATAAGCCGTTGCCCCTGCAAGTGACTGAAAACCTCCCCATATCAGCCACCCCATGTCAGCTGCATTCATGATGTGGAATCAACACCTCCACTGATCAATGCCAATTGCAGACAAGCTTGATAGCATTTATTATCTGAGAAAGTGGGTTAGCCCAGTACACTCATCCAATCAGTGTTATTGGGGTTAGAAGAAATGAACACTGTCAACTTCATGATTAAGCCATTGCAAAACAGTTTAGCCCCTGTAAAGTAAGATGAAGGCCAATGAGCTGTAATTGAATCATCTCATTAAAGTGGTTATAGAGTCTGGCATCCTCATGCATGGTCCTTTCATTCCATATTTAACGGTTTAACACTTAACGAGAATCCTCAGCAGCCCATCGCATCTGTGCTGCTATTGCTAATAAGGAAGCATTAGCCTGATCCACAATAAATGGCTGTGATTGGTTGTGAGTATCAGATGACCACTTTCAACCAGTCACAGCGTCCATTGCTGGTATAAATTGGTATGACTGTTAAGCAACTGTGCAGTCTTAGCTTTAGCCACACCTCCAGTGGTGGTCGGACAGTGGACTACCAAGGACCCTCTTTCAGAGTTACACTGCTCATAAATGGTTTAACATTTAATGGAAGGACAATGCCAAGGGACCTCATGCACTATAAACAATTTAATGAAATGATATGGTGTTGGTTATAGTGCCTATAATGTCCTTTTCGGCAAGTCTGTATCTAATCTGTCCCAGTCTAACTTTAGTGGACAGGCCACTATTATATTGTCTGTCTTTTATATTTTCTTTTTCTTTTATATTTCGAATGCAAATTAGAAACATTGTTCAATAACACGCAACCTCACAAGTGAATATGTTCATTTTATCTCACAGAGTTTATGACTTCAAGAATTCGTACACCATTTATCTTTCTATTTTGTTTTGTTTGTACGGCGATATTCAATGGGAAGTTCCAATGTGATTTAATGCTGTTTTCCCCACCCTGTATATATTTTATATATAAATTTATGGGACGTTATATAAATCTTCTTTTTTATAAAGTATTTTGCACAATAAGACATGTTATTTGAAACTATTCTTACATGTATTTTCAGAAAACTGTATTTTCATGAAAACCTTCGGGCTACTATTAGAGAGATTTTCACATGTCAAGTCTGGTTCCACCATGAAACGAGCACGCTTACATTGGTGACCTGTGGAATTTCTTGTACTTAATAACGTAGTGGCAAACTCTAACACGTAGCACACTGCAATTAATATGGATTCCTTCCCTGTGGCTGCACATCTTTGACAAAAAAACTAAACCAATCTATAACAGCCTCTACATGGGCCTTCGGGTCATGAGTAAACACACGCAAACCTGAAAAATGTCATAACCGAAGGCAAAATATGCATTCTTTTTTGTGCTTGAAAGACTGATTGCCAGGTCTTTTGGAGGAACTCTTCAAGTACAATAACCAACACAGCCCGGTATAGTTGTTATGGTGCCAGGAGAGTCCTGGGTGGGTATATTAAACTTAGCATGACCAATCCTGGACAGTGTTTGTTGGTTGAGAGTGCTCGGCTGACTCTCTCAATGAGTGTAGGTATTTCTTGATACTCTTCTGCAGCAAGATCCTGGCTGGGTACGTTATTTGGCTATAGCAGTCCGGCGGGACTCAGGTAAGTTGTCAAATTTAAATTTTCAAGACACTAGGAAACTTTCTGATCAAGCTGGCAAAAATTTAGCAGCAATCGGCAATTAAGTAACTTTAATAACACAACTCATGGAAACTCTGTATTGTCAAGACTCAACACCTATTCTTAACATTAGTCCATGTATGCAATCAAGAGTTCAACTATATTAACTCATTAAGAAAATAACTAACTGGGAATGCCACATATTATTAATTTAGTAATTATCAGGAATAAAGTAATGTCTCACAGTGTTCCGATTTATTCTGCAGAGATTACTCACACAGATGCTTGTTACGTTGTTCATAAAGAATTTGGTATTTCAAAGGTCCGTCCTTTGCTTGTTATGAAAATTATAACAAGGTATTGATTCCCAAAATGTCAGTATTGGTTGCATTACGTATGTGCATTCTTAGAATGACCACTCCACACTCATAAAGCACTTCAGCTTGCCAAAATTCTTTATATGTATGGAGTATCCGATTTTAATCGCATATCATAGAAGTGCCTGCCTTTATGAAAAATTGGCACTTTTATAAGTCAATTAATAAACATCTCAACGGCGCACGCTCATCCACAGAGCTCATTGTACCTGGAGTCCAAAGCAATTCTGGCTGTCCTTTAAAAGCTATTTTCAAATGAATCTCACTGCTGCAATGTGACTTTAGGTTATGTTTTCGTCAAGAAAAAACATGCTCCTTTCTAAGTGCTACCACACTCTACCAAGTGTTCATTAATTTCTCATTTTTATCTTACTGTCTGCCCTGAATGGAGGAAGAAGGAAAAATATAATGTCATGTCAGTAGAGGTGGTTCTAGACTTTATGAAACTCAAACATGAGGCCCCACTAACAAAAAAGTGAAAAAAATAGTTGCAATATAGTTGCAATATAGTTGCAATATATGCACACTGTCACATATACACATTGATGCACAGTTTACCTGTGTGTGTGTCTGAGAGTGTGTCTGACAGAGAGTATCCTTGTGTGTGAATGTATGTCTCTGTGAGCATGTTTGCATTTTTGTCTGGGACCCTATGTGTATGGGGTAGCTGCTTGAAGTGTGTATGGGGGTCTGCCCAGTGGCGTACACACAACCCATGGGGCCCCCGGTGCGAAAACTGATCCAGGCTTCCCCCACGCGCTTACTCTGCACGGGCTGGGGCCACAACATATGGCGGCGGGCACCTGGTCGCAGGGGTCGCAGCGGTATGTACGCCAGTGCATGCAGATACACATACACTTAAAGGACCACTACAGACACCCAGATCACATCAGCTCAATGAAGTGGTCAGGGTGCCAGGTCCCTCTAGTTTTAACCCTGCAACTGAAAACATGCTGTGTTTCACTGAGGGTTAATCCAGCCTCTAGTGGCTGTCTCATTGACAGCCGCTAGAGGAGCTTCCGCGATTCTCACTGTGAAAATCACAGTGAGAAGACGCTGAACGTCCATAGGAAAGCATTGAGTAATGCTTTCCTATGGGCGGTTTGAATGCTCGTGTGGCTCTTGCCACGCATGTGCATTCGGAGTTTAGAGGCGGATCGAGGCGGAGAGATCCCCAGCGCCATGGGAGTCCGGCGCTGGAGAAAGGTAAGTGCTTAAGACACACACTCTCATGAACAGACGCATACACACTAGCTAACAGACACACACACTCTCTAACAGACACACACATTTACTGACAGACACACACTCAGTGACAGACATACATACACACTCACTGACAGACAGACACATACACACTCACTTACAAAACACACACTCACTAACAGATGCACACAAACTAATACACTCAGTAACAGACACACACAGTAACACACTCACTGACACACTCTAACACTAACACACACACACTCTAACACACACACTCTAACACACAAACACACACACACTCTAACACTAACACACACACACATTCTAACACACACACACACACTCACACTCTAACACTAACACACACACACACTCTAACACTAACACACACACTCTAACACTAACACACACTCTAACACTAACACAAACACTCTAACACTAACACACACACTCTAACACTAACACACACACACTAACACACAAACTCTAACACTAACACACACACACTCTAACACTAACATACACACACTAACACACACACTCTAACACTATCACACACACACTCTAACACTAACACACACACACTAACACTATCACACACACTAACACACACACACACACACACACACACACATACACTAACACTATCACACACACACTAACACACACACACTCACACTATCACACTATGTACACTCCTTGTTTTATTGATTGCATTTCATATTCTAATTTACTGAGATTGTGGATTTGGGGTTTTCATGAGCTGTAAGCCATAATCATCGCACTTATGACAAATCACAGCTTCAACTATCTTGCTTTGCATGTAATGCGTTTATCTCATATATTATTTTCCCCTTTTATGTTGCATTACTGAAATGAATTAATTTTTGCACAATATTCAAATTTTTCGAGTATCACCTGTACCTTTATTTATTCCCTGGTGGTCCGGTGGCTATTACATCCAGTCTCCCGAGATCCAGTCAGAGCGTTGCTGTGGTAACCTGCGGCAATGCTCTAATTGACTAGTTCTCACGAGACACATGGTCTGCAATTGGTGTCTGTGATGGCTGGCTGGACAAAAAGGAGGGGCCTCGCACCCAGCGGCATACTGAGCAAGCCACCGGGCCCCGTCCTAGTGTCGAGTCATCGGTCACTGGCCGAGGACCCGACACAGTCTGCCCTAAGGCGGTTTAGGCGGCCATGAGGCCCCAGCCAGCACGAGGCCTTAGGCGGTCTCCTAAACCACCTAATTAGAGAGCCGCCTCTGCATGTCAGACCCCATGATAGATTTCATGGTCATAAGTGGAAACAAAAAGAACTTGAACAATGAAAATAAATCTTGCTTTCTTCAAAATTTCGCATGGTTCTGGGAATAGGGACTTAGTAAGGGTTTACATATGGGAACGGAAGTGTGTCAACTTATTAGCATGTGTCTGCTGATGATTAATTAACAGGCAAGTTCTGGGAGAACCTCCTAACGGAGGTTCTCCTGATTAACACCAAAGTGCTGCACATGGGCTGTAGTTGCTGTGAAGGTAATGTTTTACGCTGAACGCAAAAGACAAACGTCTCCTATTTTGCCACAGCAATTTAGAAATTTAAAATTTTTACATATGCCAGAACATCGGCGGACCACATTATTTTGATGGGAAGGCGTGCCCTGTTTTGGGAAGTGCTAATGTGCTTCCTAAGCAGGGCTTATCAGATTCAAGGTTTGCAAAAGGAAGGAGGGAATCAGAGCTAGACTAGCACCTATTGAAATATATCATCGCAGCCACAATGACACTAGATCTAAATATTTGTGCAACATTATATAGTTCACCTGTATGATAAATTAGATATCACAGTGCTTAATCCAATGAAATATATTCACATGAACTTGTCATGACAAGTTACACTTTAACTGTAAAGTAAAGACTCAATACAAATGCACATATGAAAACCGAATGAAAATAATTAAACAATTGATTGCCTACAAGATTATTCCTAATATTTAAAAAAAAATATATGATTTTGGTAAATTACCGCTGCTAAAATAATGGTTATATAGATGACTGATGTGGACATTTCTCATGATGTTTTTTGTAGGTTGACTCAAAGATTCTGGTCCAAGGTTCTGGTTGAACTTGATGGATGAACTTGAAATTAATTAATTATCAATGTTAATATTATTAGCATTAGCGTTAAACATACACACATTCTTTCTAAATTTAGGGTTATTTTTGTTTCTGACGAGGAAAGCTTAAATGATAATTGATGTGTGTTCTTAATTAGGACCATCCGTGAATATAACACAGGAAGGACTTGTCAACAAATCTATTCAATGATACACATTTTAAAGGCAATCAATTGTGCTTTGGTACATTTGATATAAAGACTTGATATGAGATTTATTCTACAAGTTCACAAAAATTATTTCACTTTAAAGTTCATTGTCAGAAAATAATGGGGAGAGATTAACGTATTCCAAGATAACTGTTGATACTGGTTCACGTACTCATGTTTCAGATATTTTTTGCAGATGGTATAGTTATTTTTTTTTTTTTTTTAGAAATGCTTCTGTAGCAGATAGAAACAAGAGATGCATTTAACCTGGAGCTAAATAAGCACGCTCTTAAATAATCATCTGCTGTCTAGATATTTGTTACATGAAGATTTGAGAAATTGTTCTTTGACGTGGCTTTATGATTAGGGGGTGGGAAGCTTTTCAAAATAGTTGACCTTTGTTGGAAAGTCACACCCTCCATTGACTGTATAAAAGAGGGTTCAAACGATACCTTATACTGCATTCTCTGTTTCTTTGGTCAATCTGTGCATTATCATCTTTTGCTCTTGATACCATTTTTATTACACAATGAGTTACAGTTTCAGCCAGAGCAGTTCAAGAGGCAGTGCTGTCTCCTCCCGACTTACGGATGGTATCTACAGAGCTGCCAGTATCAGTGGGGGGTACGGGGGAGCAGGTGGATATAGCGGATTTGGTGGTTCTGCCATGTCTGTTTCCAGTGCTAGGCTATCATCTGCAGGTGGGTCAGGATATGGCTTCAGCTCTGGATATGGTGGCAAGGCATCATTTGGTGGAGGAGGAGATTTTGGCTCGGGAGCATCGTTTGGGTCGGGAGCATCTTTTGGCTCTGGAGCATCTTTTGGCTCCAGTTTTGGTGCCGGCGGTGGAGATGGTTTACTGTCTGGCAATGAAAAGTACACCATGCAGAATCTAAATGATCGCCTTGCCAGTTATCTGGATAAAGTACGGGCCTTGGAGCAATCCAACAACGACTTGGAGATCAAAATTCGTGAATGGTACTCAAAGCAAACTTCATCCGCCGTTCGTGAGCAGAGCTTTAGCGGCCAGTACACAGCTATTGATGAGATACGAGATAAGGTAAGGAACTCAGAAAACAATGCACAATTACACAGCAGTACCACAAGACAAACCTATACTACTATCTACCTGTACCTATCTTTTCTTAAATTCTGAACTCTGCATTGTATGGTAAAATGCTTCTTCTTTAAAGGGACATTCTAGGTACCATGACCACTACAGCATACCAGTCATCTGTTTAAACCATTTATAAATTGTTTGTCACTTACCTATGTCACCTTTCCGGTGAGTTCTGATAAAGCAACAGTTTATTATCAAACCAACTTATACCATGTTTAAGCAGTACTCATTGACTGAAAGTGTCAACCGATGCCCGAGACTTCTGGTACTTTAACCACTACAATATACTATATGATTCCTAGAATGTCTCATTTATTGATGATTGAATTGGTTAGCAAAGGTAATATCTTCGTTTTGGTATTGTTCTGTATGTTTACTTCCTTCTACTGGTCTGCAATGACTCAAATATATGCATTGGGAATTTTAGGAATCTTGCAACTTTTTTAATAAGGACAAAAAAAACAAATGGGGTCTCATTTGGAAGGATCATGTTGACAATGTTATTCTTTAAAAAAAAACAAAAAAAAAAACAACTCTTAAATCTGGTGCTCTATTAAAAAAAATATTAACTATGATGTTTTAAATGATTTGGGACAAAGTTTTATGATATACAATCAACCAATGTAAAGCAATTTGAGAATCATCTATGGAACAAAATTAAAGGAACACTATAGTGTCCGGGATAAAAACATATGTGGAGTGACTATTTAGGTGACTGGCCCCCCTCTCTATGAAGTAAAAATATATTTAAACTGTTCACCTTCATTGTGCCAATTTCACCATTGCTGGCCCTGCCATTGTTGAGATCATTAATCATCAATCAGGTGGTTCGTCTACAGCGCTTAGTGTCATAGGTGATTGCGGAACCTGTTTAAATGGAAACTATCACTACCCAGGATTTTTGTTATTATGTTTACTTATTACCTATATTTACCAAATATCTACTTTTGTGGTGTGAAATAAAACCCTAAATTTATAAATTCTTATCTATTTACCCCGCATCTTGGTGTCCCATCTTGGCTCCCTGTCAATCAATGCTACAAGCTCTGTCCTTTGCACCTGGCAGTTAACATAGAAAAAACATGCTGATAAGATATATTAAACAATGTTTCTATTTCTCATTTGCAATGTGTGCCCTGTGTCTGGACTATACCAGATTGTGATGTAAGTTTACTAAATATTTAACTAAATTTGAAAGATAATAGAGCATCACATTAAAAAAATACAAATAAAATGTTAAAGGGACACTGCAGATACCAATACAACTTAAATTCATTCAAGCTTTTGGCCATTTAATATACTTTTTTTTTAGCATACTCAAATCATTATAGTTTTTGCATAAAATAAACACATGTGCATAATGCTGCACCATAAGACTGCCTCTTTAGCCACACCCCCTCACTTCAGGAAAATACTTCCTTATCAAATGTATGTACACAGATACACTGACAGTACAGAATGATCTGAACTATGAAATAACCTGTATTTGAAGGAGAGGACATCTAGGGAGGCATATAGTGAGGGTATCACTACCTGTTCATAGTTTCTCTAACTGTCTGCAGCCAGGGTATCAATTAAAAGCAGCTTACTCAGTGCTATTAGAGCTGAGCTGTTTACATATTTTTGATTAAAAAAAAACATTTTAATCATGGAAGGGGCGTGGCTAAGAAGGTAGGTTTACAGGGCAGTTTTCTGCAAAACATTTATTTTTTTTGTGCAAAAACTATATAGATTTGAGTTTGCAAAGAAAATACAGCATATTAATGAGGCCGAAATCCATCTAATGCATTACAGTTGTATCGGTACACGTCATGTCCCTTTAACAAGGGCTATAAGTTATTTTCAATGTTTTTTTAGTTTGCAGAACAATGCCAGTTTCCTCTTAATGCATTGACACACAAAAGGATAAATTATCTCAAGAGAAAATCTGAGCAGTGTGTTGTGATATGAGGCAGCAACCCACAATCCTCTATACTATTGGCATGGTGGGGTAATTGCCCCCCCCCCACGCAGGCCTCTTATGGTACAGACAATATGAAACAATTACACGTTATTATATTCTTATCTGTTATATATAAAAATCTACTATAGAATGTATTGCATGGACATTTGAATGTTGGCTACCTATGCACACATTCCATATTTAGTGCAAACGTATTTACATTACTAAGGTAATTGCTGTCTGTTTAACTAATGCTCATCATGAATCTTTACTTCTTCCTAGATCTTTGCCGCCAATATAAATAACTCCAAAATTATTCTGGAGATTGACAATGCTCGGCTTGCAGCTGATGACTTCAGAATGAAGTGAGTATAAAATATTTTTCTTCAGGAACATGACTGTTCCTGGTTTGTTGATTAACTCCTTCTTTTGTACTTAGTGAAATCATATGCAATAGTTAAAAGGACACTAAAATCATCAGAACTAAAGCTTAATGTAGTAGTTCTGGTGTCTGTCGCTGTAGACTTTTCAATGTAAACACTACCTTTTCAGACCGGTGTGGCGTGGGAGAAAATTTAAGTTTCAAAACTTTTCAAAGTAATCTGAGGTGGGCCGGAGAGCTAAATAGTTAGCTTAACACTATTTATTGCTGACGCTATACTGTCCTAGTAATGGGCATTATTACATTATTAGAACTCCTGTGTGCATTAAAAAAGCAAGTTTACTTACCTGTTAGTAAATACTGATGATCTCAGCAAATCCAATGCTTCCCCATAGGTAAACATTGGAGAACTAGTACGCTTGCATGGCAAATCACCACTCTGTACCAATGCATCTCTATGGGAAGCATTCAGCATCCTCTTGTAATGCGTGGAGATGCTGAACATTGGTCCTGTAATATTTGCAGGACCAAACCCAGGAAGTCGCTCTAGTGGCTGTTGGGAAAAATGTTTCCAACTAAAACCTCTGCTCAAGATTTATATATCTGGAACTAAATAATCCTCCTTGGAGGTTATTAGAATCCAAATGTACAAACCAGTGCTACCTAGGTTACCAAAACCAGATTTATATAAGAATGAAATAATAACAAACATTCAAGTGAGGGATAAATGTGCTGTAAAAGCTGTGAGAGAACCCATATAGCTTTTCAGGTAATTATAGTTATCATGTGTGATAACATTAAGTAAGGCACTTTTGAAGAGATAACCAGAAATGCTGAATTTGGGTGTAAGAGGAAAAGGGCAAATTTACTGTATTACTTTATTAATTTAAGTTAATAATCGTAAATTTAAAAAAACTAATTGAGCAACAGTTGTTCATGTCTTGTGCTGATGATTGGAGTGTTGAAATGGCTTACATGTGCATCTGTATTAACCAATTTCAACTAAACACAGGTATGAGAACGAGTTTTCCCTGCGCCAGAGTGTTGACAATGACATTAATGGCCTCAAACACGTTCTGGATGAGTTGACAATGACCAGATCTGACCTGGAACTCCATATTGAAGGTCTGAAGGAAGAGCTGGTTTATGCTAAGAAGAACCAAGAAGAGGTATGAATTTATGGAGAAAACAGTTTTGTTTTTTTAAAGAATACCTAATTTCTAAATCTTACCAAGATCCTTAAATTAGCCTAGTTGAAATGCTCATATATATTTTGTGTTAAAATTAGCTAAAAATATGGACTTAACCAAAGTTGCATTCCAATTAGAAATGTGGTTATCCTCAAACTTGTTCAAACTTTAATATCTAATTTATCCATTTATTTCTTCACATCTATAGGAAGTCAGCGAGAAGAAGCAGCATGCTGCTGGTGTCGTGAACGTTGAGTTGGATGCTGCTCCAGGAGTTGACTTGCTGAAGACACTCAATGATCTCAGAGAGCAATATGAACATATTGCCGAGAAAAACAGAAGAGAAGCTGAAGCGTGGTTCACCAGCCAGGTAAGACCTTGCCTCAAGGCGGTGAAACTTTACTATGTTTTAAATTTGTAAAAAAAAAAAAAAAAAATGTTTGACATTGTCTTTTTACAATACGCATGTTCTGACACACGTGTGGAACTTTTATTGCTTTTTTGAAATTTCAGGTTCAAGCCTTGCAGACTGAAGTTGCCACCAACACGCAACAAGTTCAGAGCAGCAAGAGTGAAACAACAGAGCTAAGACGCTCAATGCAAAGCTTGGAGATGGAATTGCAGTCTCTACTAACTACTGTACGTAAACATAAAGGGTCTCTATTTGATACACATCGGTTTGAATTATAGACTTTACATGCAGGCATACAATTCTGCACGCAATCATGTCATAAACCTATGGGAGATATGATTTTTTCCAATCAACACTTTGAAAATAGTTCCGTGAACGAGATTACATTTGCTAAAAAGTGTTCATCCCCAAGATGTCAAGTCTTCTATTCATCCTAAAGGGGCATTTTATCAATAATTAAATGTATGCCAACCTACAGAATCTTTTTGACAGTGGGATCATCCATAAAAGATCCAACTGTCTCCCAGAATCCTCCATAGACCCCCACTTCGTACTTTTGCATATCGGCTTAAGCACAATATTGATGAAGGGTCCTCTAAGATAAAGCAAGGTAATGTTGAAAGGAGCTGAAGACTTGAATGAAAAAGATTGTGCAGGTGTCAAGGAGCAAAACATTTAGGTATCTCTACCTCCTCTCTCTCCACTTCTGACTGATTTACAGTAAAAATTTATGGGTAATGAGTTAGTGATAATGGCAGTTATGGTCATTTTGGGTCATTTTGGCTCACCGGCTACATGTTTTATTAAAGAGGCAAAAATGGGAAATTTCCAATAGTATATTACATGTTAGTGGAAACAGTACTTCAGATTTCCAGATATTTAATTAATATAAAAAAACTTCAACAAACCACTTTTCTAGAACTCATATTCAATTTCACCATTTTTTTTTTACATGTAGAAAGCCAGTCTGGAAGCCAATATGAGTGAAACCGAAGGACGTTATTCTGCAGAACTCTACCAAATACAAGTTATCGTCAGTGGACTTGAGGTTCAGCTCAGTGAGCTCCGCTCAGATATAGAGCGTCAGAACCAGGAGTACAAAACTCTGCAAGATATCAAAAACCGTCTGGAACAGGAGATTTCAACATATCATCAGCTTATGGATGGAGAAGGTGGCAAGTAAGTCCCAAACCTTTAGAACTATGGTCAATATCTTGATATAAAATAGATTCAAATTCATTCATGTACATTTAAAAGTTCTTGTTCTGAAAGTTCCTTCAAGATCTTCTGGACAGTTTGTGTCAAATCATATTCAAGTAGATTAATAAAAAGAGGGACTTTTCCAATATGTATATCCCTGTCTCTCTGTTGTAACCTGGATTATAACCCATTGAACTTTAGATGCTTATGATAGGATAAGAGCTAAGTGTAAATTAATCAACCCCAGTGCTCTCAACCTATTACTGCCAGCCAAAGCTGAACCAGTTAACACGGAAATGACTTCTGCATTAGCTTAGCCGCAGCAAAGAGTACAAGGCAGAAGAGACCTTTTATTGTCAAATCACTTGAAAACAAGGGCGTAACACATCTACAATCTTTGCTCCATAGCCACAGTAATGAGCTGTTGCGGTTATGGTGTGAACAAGCCCCTTTAAACTGTTCACACAGTCGCGATTCCATTTAATTTTCACGGTATTCAATAGGGTTAAGGCCAGTGCGTGATACAATTCCAGTTTTTCAGACAAAGCAGGTTTTAAACTATTCACTAGGTTTGCCATCAGAAATGTTGGGCCATTTAAAAAAATTATAGGTTTGCTCCCCCTCCCTCTGCCCCCCAGTTACACTCTTCCCAAGCTTGAGTACACTCGCAGAGAAACACACATTCCCACACATGCATTCACAAATGCACATTGCCAGGAACAAACAGATATAGATATGCATCTCAGACAGACACACACAAGCTTTGCCATACACAAACATTTACCTGCTGACCTACACATAGATATGCACTGCCATGCACTCTACATTCAGACCTTACTGGCAGACACAAATATACACTCACTCCAGGTACAATCCCTGATTGACAGATACACACCCACCCAGAACTATTGCAACATACTCATTCTCCAACACATAGACATATTCAGACACTTAGAGATATTTACATATATATGCTAGTGTGGGGTGACTCCCAAGGGTCTAGTGGTTCCCAGCAGCTCTTTCTCTCCTCTGCAATTTTCCTGTATGCTGGGAGGAAGTGCTCTGTGGTTACATCCGCCCAGCCCTGCTGCGGAGTGAAGGTGGATGGATTGTTAAAGTGACACTACGTACCTTTTTTTAATCAATGGGGAGCTACTGATTGGCTTAGAACGTCATCTGACCACTCTAGCCACACAGCAGCATCCCTGCCTGGCGGCACTCCATGCTTCCTGTGACTGAGATTCAAAAGCCGGATGTAGCCTGGGGGACCTGGAGATCAGTGCTAAAGACATTTTTTGGGGTGATATAATTTGAGAAAGGTTTAACTCCTTAAGATATGAGTGCGCCTGTCATCATAACAACTTCATTTAGACGTTTTTATGGGATCCCTTCAAGTAAGTAGCCTGCTCTACAGAATATTTTCAATGCAGTCCAGTTGGGGAGATATTTTTATTTCCCCAACTAGACCCTTGTGGGCCCGCTGGCCTTAACAAGTCTCCTACCCAAGTAATACCTGTATATCCCATCATGGGGGCGCTGTTAATCATATTTCAGGCTGTACAATACCACAGGCTGCCAGACATATAAGAATGTAAGACATACTTGCAACGAAGGTTTCAAAGAAAATACGCTTGAGCCAGCATGCTGAATGAAATCACATATTGTTTAACTATAGAAGTTTTTACTCCTGAAAGATATTGTCTTTTTATGTAAAAGTGCAATGCTGGTATATTTTTCTAAAAATAATTATTACCCAATGTGAGGGAACATTGGTGTTTCTAGAGATTTGGATGGAATTTAAGTTAGGATGATAAACTATATTTTCATATTTTTTTTACCTAAAGAATTGCTATTGGTGGAGGTGGAGGTGGAGGAGCCGGAGGAAGTTCATCAAGCTCATCAAGTTCATCAACCTCAACAACCTATAAATCGGGTAAGTGATGCAATCTACTACTACATAGGAAACATTCACATCTCCATAGGAAAAAAAAGAACCCATTAGAACATCAATGACATAATCTAGAGAATTGCAAGTTATAGAAGTGGAACATGGAGTGGTTGGAACTGGAGGGAGCCACCTCCACCTGAAGTTCACCCTAGAGAAACATGGACTATCAGTCTAACGTCTATGTTCTCCTCCATATTGGCCTGTCCCCCAGGGTTGCTCACATACAAATCACTCTTGAGCTGCATGAGAAAGTCTAATGATTTATTGTGCTTTGTTAATTAACGGGTCTCAAATCAAGACTGCCCAAACAAATTCAGGACAGTTGGATTGTGCAACAAATAAAACTGAAAAGCTTCTGTTAATTAAATTTCAAACTATATTAGCAGTGACTTATACACTGGGTGAGGTACTTTTCAGTATATTTGACTCTGCCTACACGTATATTGTAGTAGTAATATAACCTACCTATTGGTTATTATATGCAGGTATTCTTTGATCACTGTTACAAGCATTTTGGGTGGCAAAATACAAAGCCTATCCATGTAAAACTAAAGTGCATTTTTAATTAGCTCCGCTGGCTTGCTGTAGTTAGATATACAACGACGTTGCCAGAGATAATGATATATGTGAGGATGCATAGGGTAAATAACTATATAAAATGGTTTTACACAAATTTGCATTGGAATTTTCTTTATAGAAAATGTATTTGCAAGGGTGGCCTCATTAGACGAACGATAAGCAGCGTGCAGCACTCCAGATGTTGTGAACTACATCTCCCATAATGCTCTTGCGGCCATGATGCTGGCAAAGCATCTGGGGAGATGTAGTCTGAAGTGCAGAACATTGCCTACCCCTGCATTAGACCATGCTGAATTTAAAAAAATCTGATTGTATGATTTAAAGCAAACAGTGACATTACACTACCATGTGATAGTTGGAATACTGTGGCCCAGTACATTTTAGTAGTTTTTTGAGTTACTTCCGAAGATCTTTCAGCACATCACCAGAGATCAGTCATCTAGAAATGTTGTACGTTATTGTCTTTTACCTTTTGCTTTTGAAAAAGATCCCCTTTTAGAGATATTTGTGATTAAAGTGGGATACTAGAGGGGAACTGTCTCTTGATTACATGTACACCATTAAACAAAAGATTGATAACCATTATAACTTGTGTTAGCCTTCTTCATAAAATGCTCAGTTTTCTTTCAAAATTATATTAATGATTTAGCAAATTACATTGTTATCCAGTTCAGACCAGGCAGAAATAAGTCAAACATTGCAAATGAAGAGGAAGCATTTTTTTCACATCCTACAAATACTTTTTTGTTAAACGATCACTATAAGGTTAGGAACAAAAGCATGTATTCCTGACCCTATAGTGAAATCCCATCATTTATGCCCCCCCCCCCCTCCCTTAGCCTCTTCAGAATCGGTTAAAACTCACCTTATTTCCAGCTCTTCACAGGTCCGCTGGCACTGGCCCCACCCCCTTGGTGACACTGATTTGGCCAATTAGCACCTCCTCATAGAGATGCATTGAATCTCGGGGGCAATGTAAACACTGCCTTTTCTCTGAAAAGGCAGTGTTTACATGAAAAAGCCTGAAGGGAGCTAATATACTCACCAGAACAACTACATTAAACTATAGTTGTTCTGGTGACTATAGTGTCCCTTTAAATATAGATTATAAGTAATTAAAAAAACCTGGGGTGGCAATTTGCATTTAAGATCCCACCAAAAGGGGGCTTGCATATATTCTTCATATACCCATCTCTCCCTGAAATTGTGTACACTAACCATCAACAGCTGGAGAGCACTAGACAAAAATAAATATTTATGTTCCAGAATGAGAATCTATTCAACATACAGAAGTTCAAACAGAATAGACATAACTGAGCAGTATAATAAATCCACAACTTACCATTCTTTTTCAGGATCTTCTGTGACGACCACCACCAAAGTCCAAGCCATCATAAAAGAAGAAATTGGAGGGAAAGTGATTTCATCCACAACCCTGAAGAGATATTAATGAATTACTGTCAACAAAATGTCTGTTTCCAATCATATTGCTGAGGAATGTCTGTTAAAACAAGATCCAGAAAACTGAATAATAATAAATAATACTAATAATGTTCAGGAATATAAGTTTGTGGAAGCTGCTTTTAGGGTGGGAAAAGTACTCCATGATTTGTTACAGAATACTGACAGCCTACTTCCTGGACCCACTGTGTGTTTCAAAAAGCTTGAAAAGCCTCTGAAGTGTGAAAACTTAAAGTAACAGTCTGGGCTACAGGTTACTACCTTAATGTGTTTTGGTCTCAATAATTTGCTGTATTTCCCTGCATGCTCAAATCTTTATAGTTTTTGTATTAAAAAAAAATAATAATATGTTGCAGAATGCACCATAAGCCGGCCTCTTTAGCCACGCCCCCTCATGCCAGAAAAATACTTCCTTATCAAATGTATGTACACAGCTACACTGACAGTATTGAATGATCTGAGCTACAAAGCAAATCACATTATAAGGAAAGGACACCCGGGAAGGCATAGTAAAAATATCCCTACTTGTTTACAGTTTTTTTTGAATGTCTGCATCCAGGTTGTGAATTAAAAGCAAGTCACTTAGTATTGTTGGGGCTGAGACTGTGTGCCAGCTTTTGATAAGGAAGTTTTTCTTGCATGTGGGGGCGTATCAAAGAAGGCTGACTTATGCTGCAGAATTCTGCAAAACATTTATTTATTTTTTGTGTGCAAAAACGATAAAGGTTTGAGCATGCAAAAATCATTTTATATTAATGAGGCCAACATTGATCAGATGCATTACAGTTGTATTGGTGCCCAAAGTGTCCCTTTAATATTAGCATTTCTACCATAAATTAGACATAAATTAGATTATCTACACATCATATGCTCACATTTAACACTAATGCATTGACATAGCTTTACATTCTGAATTATGTGTTATGTTCCTCAGTTATTAAATAAAATGTATTAATGAGTCATGCAAAGAAAAATATGTATTTTTTTTATTTTACAATATTTTACTTAAACTGTTTGTACATCTTAACCCACAGAAAATAAGGGGTTATGAAGCATGACTAAAATCAAAGCATAACTTTGTTATTTATTTGATAAGTCTGGGTTTCACTTTTTAGCGTGTATTTTTCGACTTTTCAATCTTTTATAGTTTAAAAAAAATATATACATTAAAACAATATTTAAAAAATGTCATAGATGTTAAAAAAGTCCAGTAATTCTAGCTTTTTTTAGGTGCTCAGTAGAGGGTTATGCTTTTTATGATTTTTACATTTGAGATTGTTTTTATTTTTGTCATTCTCACAATTTTAATAGCTTTTTTTTTTTCAACCCGTAACTATAGTAGTCATATATAGTATTGCGGTTATCTATAGTAAACCGGTATTATAAAATCTGCTGACGATAATAATATATCCCACATGGACAAATGTGACCAGCTGACTATAACTAGTGCAAATTTTGATGTTCAGACATCCTGAGTTAATGCTCATAGTTAGCTCTTCGATCACGTCACTTTTAACCTTTGATCACTAGTCTTTCAACTAGCATAAGAAATATAATTTAATTTATTATATTGCTGTGTAATCTCCTTCTGTAACTTCATGAATGTAAATGGGGTGGTATATGCATAAATGGGTTCATGATGGATCTTTCATTTGACTCCTCTCTGTGTACTGTCCTCAGATTTAAGACTTTTCAATAACGTTAAAGGGAAACTCCAGTGCCAGGAAAACAATCCGTTTTCCTGGCACTGCAGTCCCCTCTCCCACCCACCACCCATCCCCGGTAGCTGAAGGGGTGAAAACCCCTTCAGGTCACTTACCTGAGACCCAGCCGACGTCCCTCGGCGGTGGTTTCTGCTCGCCGCCGCTCCTCCCAGTGATTACGTCAGCCAGTGGGCGAGACTAATCCTGCCCGCCGGCTGAGGAGACCTAATGCGCATGCGCGGCAATGCCGCGCATGCGCATTAGAGCTCTCCATAGGAAAGCATTAAAAATGCTTTTCAGTGCTTTCCTATGGGGAATTGAGCGACGCTGGATGTCCTCACACAGCGTGAGGACGTCCAGCGACGCTCTAGCATAGGTTTCCTGTGCTATGGACACGGAAGTGCCCTCTAGTGGCTGTCTAGTAGACAGCCACTAGAGGAGGAGTTAACCCTGCAAGGTAATTATTGCAGTTTATAAAAAACTGCAATAATTACACTTGCAGGGTTAAGAGTAGTGGGAATTGGCAGAAGTGGTCTGGGTGCCTACAGTGTCCCTTTAAGGAAACCTGGATAGACTTTTTTTTATGAGTCCTTAGCATTTCTAGTAAAGTAGGTGCTCCTTCTATGTCCATTGTTAGACAACAAGAAAAAACTCCAGGCAATAACATTTTCATTGTTCCTTGGTATGTGTACACACTTCTGATGTGCTTCTGATGTGCCCCAGAGTAAATACATAGAATAGAATCTTGGCTAAACTTTATTTCAGGGATAGGAAAGGATGCATGGGTCAATGGAGACTTTATAAGCAAACTTGATTGTACAGACAATTTATATTATCTGCTAGAAAGGAACAGCTTCAGGAATAGGCAAAAGTTATATTATTATTATTATTTTATTATTTATATAGCGCCATCAGATTCCTTAGCGCTGTTAATACGTTATATCAATAAACAAGGGACATAAATGTGATAAAGCTATAAAGGAGGAGACTATATTTAAAAGAAGGAAAACTACCACAACACGAGGACATAGTCTTAAATTAGAGGGACAAAGGTTTAAAAATAATATCAGGAAGTATTACTTTACTGAGAGGGTAGTGGATGCATGGAATAGTCTTCCAGCTGAAGTGGTAGAGGTTAACAAAGTGAGGGAGTTTAAGCATTTGTGGAATAGGCATAATTGTATCCTGTACTTAAGATAGGGCCAGGGACTAATGAAATTATTTAGAAAATTGAGCAGACTGGATGAGCCGAATGGTTCTTATCTGCCGTCACATTCTATGTTTCTAGGTTTCTATATACATAGTTAAAACAGGCCTGATCAGCAAATACCGACTGGTTTAAGAACATGTACTGGTTCTAATATTACAGCCTAGGTCAACATAAACCATGATAATGCCTTAAGGACAAAAGATGAAAATTTTCTGTCATGCTGGCCGTTTACTTCTGAAGCTGTGTCCTTAAGGCATTGACAGTAAATGTGATTCAGACATGTTTAGGCAATATTCATGTAATCATGCCTGCTCAGCTTCTTAGGTAAATGACAAATACCAACAGGGTTCTGCACATCATTTTCTTAACAATTTCCTTGCCACGGTACACCTCCAGTCAACCAATAATCTCTGGTCTTTCAAATACAGCAAAGATGTATTCCTTATGATATCACACAAAAAAGGTTGGCATTTCAGGAAAGTCTGTTATGGAAAAGTCAGTTAGGAACTTAAATGTTAACCTTTTTTTTTTAGATAGGAGACACCAGATTGCAGGAATAAACTAAGCTGCAACATGCAGAATTCCAAAATAAACTTCTCAAAGTACCTTGCGATATATAGGGACAATGAATGGATCACAACTACTCTTATTTATGGCCCGATTGATTTAATATTTTGTTTGAGTTCTGAGCGGGGACCCACCGAAGGGCAGGCTATTTTAGCTGCTGTCCGTCCTCAGAATACTCATGCGACCCATTTTTTGCTCTCCATTATTTTCAAAATAGTTTAATATTTTGATATATCTTACATTTTATTTGTTTTGATATTTTGAAAGCAAAAAACATTTTTGAAAGTGTTTCAAAACATTAATTTATATGAAAAGCTTATCTACAATTATTAAATTGAGGCCTGTATCTGTGATTTGTGCATGTATTCTAGACAACGAAAGCGTAAAACAAAATAATGGTGACTGCATTAATGAATTAAAAACATTTTTTTTTTCTTTAACAATAATTCTAAAAAAATGTTAATCTTTTGGGGGAAAACAATTTAGATTTTTTTTTTTTTTTTTTATAATTCTTTATTTTATTGAGGCATGTGATTTATACGGTACAGCAAATGATGAAGGTAGTATAACAAGAAAACACGGCATAAGAGCACAGCATAAGATGGCATAGAGTTATACACCTACATAGATCAGCCTTTTTTTTTTTCTTTTGGTAGTAACAGATAAACAGGCTAAGAATACTTGACTGCTTTTAAGTAAGAACATGCTTTGTTAACAGGCTGATGAAAATGTCACTAGAGAAGTGGGAGAAAAGCAGAGAAATTAGGTTATACTCACTGACAAAGTGAAGGCCCCCCCAGAAGGTTGTTAGATAGTAAGACCCCTAATAGAGATCAGAACCACATATTTTTAGAAGTAGTTAAGAAATAGCAGACTTAAAAATACTTAAACTATTTAGAAGTAGTAAACTTAAAATAAGAACATAAACTTAGAAATCATCAGCCAAAATATGGGTATCTGGACATAGGTGTGTATGGTAGCAAGAGTCACAGTCCCTTTTCAGCCTATGCCCCTCTGGGGTAGTTCATCACTCTGCCGTGGTGGAGAGGTCTGCAAGCAGAGGATCCCAGATGGAAGCCAAGATGTCATGCGGCCGTGGAGTAGTAACTTGTAAAGTCACTGCATCTTTCCCTCTGCTCCGTTTCCAATGTGTGACCTTGAGGAGTGTGGGTGGCCAGGACGGAAAGGGTCACAGGTTGCAGCCTAACCGCAAGCTTCACACCGAGAGAGTTAAAAGTATGTTTCAGCTGCTTCTGCCACAGATCCGGGTAGATTTTATCTTGCGAGGAGGGACATTCAGCAGCCTCCTTGGAGCAGGTTGCTTGATGCACTGCTTCAGCCATTTTATAGAAAACTTCCGGTTGATGCTACAGGAGGATGGCACTGTGGGGCTGCAGTGTCGCAGTAGTGGTAGGGGCCTTGGGGTGTGGACCGGGCTCACCCCCAACGGGGGAGGTGGGGAACAGGGCCAGGTTCACATAGTGTCAGGAGTCTAGCTTGGTACAGTTGGGCAGGATAGCAGGGTAGCGGCCGTCCACTCTTCTCACCTCCCGAGGAGGCCTCATCTGGGTAGATGAAAGATGACCCTCCAAGGGACTAAAACACTGCGTGCAAGCCTCTCCTCTGAGCCAGTACTCCTTGTGTACAGGACCGCAGCTTCTAGTTGCCAGGTGGAAAAATCAAGTTTGCTGGAGCTGCTCTTTCATGCGACTGTTTAGCATGGCAGTCTGGTGCCTCCTACCCCATACAATTTAGACATTTTAAATGTTCCCTACAGCAGAGGTGCACAAAAAAAAATAGATCTCCAGGTATTTTAAAAGTGCATTTTCCATGATGCTGTGCCGTTTCTTGCCAAGCATTGGGATTTGAGATTCTCGACCATTTGGAGATCTACCTTTAGGGCACTCCTGTCTGTCCTAGAGGGCAAGTGTTTCCATACAGAAAGTGCAAGGTGGTCAACAGTTACAATGCATTAAGGGTACATCATTATAAAAAAAAAGTACTAGACTCACACTGTGACACATGTGGGGAATATGGAATGGTATGGACCAGGCAAAATTACTGAGGTGTTTTTGGAAGTTCCATAACCGCCACAACGATGGTGTCAAAACATGCATGTTCATATACTCTACCAATCCTTTTGGATACAAACCATTTGTTATGATGCTAATACAGATATTTAAAATAAATTCCAAATGTGTTGCCATTTAGAAAATATTTTTGGTTACATAATCTCATAAGCACTATATTTCTCATTTGAAATTCGAGTTGGATGCTTAATGATATGCATATTGCATTATACGTATCATGAGCTATATAATAGAGAATAATCTTTTTGGACAAGTGTATAAAATTGTTTACAAAAGGTTTACAATAGGATATGTCACACGGGGAGTGGTAAATAACACCTGTCTCACAAAATGCATTCAAACAAAATATATCCCATTGTTAAAGGTGACTTTGATGAATCTAACAAAAGTACAACTCAGACGCCTGTAAAATACATATAAAATCTATTTGCTCCGTGTAACACCCACAACCATTCTTATAAATGAAGGAGATCTTTCGTTTTCAAGGAAAACTTAAAATTTGCGTAGTAATAAGTCAGTCATACGATATTTTTACATCTGTATTTTTGGATTACACTTTGCCTTCACAATGCGACACAGCCTTAACAATGTGTTCCCTTCTGCTGGATCTCCTGTAGGAAGTTGGTGTGTTGGTGTCCACTCCCCAACGTTATCTACGCATTGCTCCTCAGCCTACTCTGGAGGCTTCAGTGGTTCATTAACCACTCATGGTGGGTCAAGAAGAGTTCCACAAACCACATCTGGACAAAGATTTGGAAGTGTGTTGGGTGATTACAGCCATGAAGTGGGCAATTCTGGTTGGAAAAATGATGTAGGGTTCCATATAAATTCAAAGGAAACAATGCAGCTCCTCAATGATCGATTGGCTTCTTACTTGGAGGAGGTGTCATGCCTGGAAGAGGAAAACAGAGATTTGGAGAGAAAAATAAAAGCCTGGTATGAAAAACATACTCCACAAGCTGCACCTGACTATGGGAAGTACTTCAGCACCATTGATGACCTCCAAACAAAGGTACAACATGGGCATGAGAATAAAAGCGGTCACTTGTAGATGATGAGATAATTTGTAAAAGCCTGTTACGTGATGATAGTCAAATTACATACAATTATTGAATTATGGAAATGTTTTGAAGACAAAACACTAGCATCCAAAATCATGCAACCTAAATCTATACCTCCGGTTTAAATGGTGTAGATTATTTGGTTTAAAGAAATATGGGTATACACAATATATTGCATTGCTTAATTCCAGGTAACCAAGAACAACTGTCAGACATCTGTGCATGTGAAAGAAGACTATTATCTCCAATGGGCTCCAATTTAAAACATGGTCTCTTTGGCATATTGCCCTTGTGCAGACATTATGGGAATAGCATGTAGCACTCATAAATATAACATTACAATAAAAACATGTGAATTAAAGAGGATGTCTTTATTGGCTAAATTAAACATGATTACACATATGTATCCCACTGCATTTTCAATTAGCCATATTTTTATTATTAGGGCATTGTTTTATTATAAATGTTTCCTTTAATCTTGAAATCTATGTATCGCACTGCATCAAGGCAACCTTCGGAACTGCAGATTTCGTGGACTACATCTCCCTTGATCTAGAGAATGTAGTAACTAATTAATAGGTTATATAAATTTTAAACTATATAAATGTTTATTGACATTTCATTTTCTCATCTTTCTCAGACTGCTGATGCTATCATTGAAAATTCCAGTCTTGTTTTGCTGATAGACAATGCCCGTCTGGCAGGAGAAGATTTGCAAATCAAGTAAGGACAAATGGAGAAAAATTAAGTGAGAAGAGGTAGTAGGAGCTACAGTATAGTCAAGTAATTAAGGGATTTCTGGTAAATTATTTTGGATACAATATAGCTGGTTCTAAAAGTCAAAATTCCATTTCAATCAGGTACTAACTGTTTGCAATCTATTTGTTACGTGCTTACCAGAAGTACTGTCTGTGACAGTGGTTTCCAATCCAGTTCTCGGGGTTCACTGGTAATGCTGGTTTTAGACATTTCCCAATTCTGTACGTGCATTGAACACTGGTTTTGGAACAACTAGTCTGGTGAATTTTTAGAAATGAAAAACCAGAGAGTGAAAATGTGATCTCGTTTTTATAATTTTATAATTATTTGTAATAGTTCTACAATATAATTTCACTTGTCCTATTTTTGATACATAAGATACAATATGGAGTTGAGCCAACGCAACACTGTGGACGCAGATGTAAGCAGTCTACGCAGGGGTCTTGATGTTTTTACTTTGGAAAAATGTGACCTGGAACGTCACTTTGAAGACCTCAAGGAGGAAATATTACATTTGAAGAAGAATCATGAAGAGGTAATGTGTTGAGCAAACTATAACAAAGATCAGAAAACAATAAAATGTATAGCACTGATGTAAGTACAATATCATAGAACAGAGGGTCGGTGTGACATTGCTTGATTGCTCTACATAGACCAGACTTTTTTTGTCTATTACTTTTATTGATTTTCAATAAGGATTCGATGCAGAAAATGTATACAGCAATAGGCATACAAAATTGGTATATAGACACGAGGCAAGTATGCTGAGGTGTATCTTCCATATTCTAAGTGAAAAGCCTCGGTAGAAATATTTTATCAACAGGTTTAACAATATCTAATCGAGAACCATAAAGATCACAGATATGTCTGGCCGGGCAATGTGGTAACTATATAGTATAACTTACAATGATAATGTTTTAGAGCTGGGTCATGTCCAATTAAGGGCCCCATCACACCCTTTCATCTCTTTTCCTTTTCCCCTTTAAAGCAGATTTATCATTAGGATCCAAATTTCCCAACCTTAACTTGAGCCTAGAAGAACCCTACATTTATTTGTTCATTATGTTCATTCATTCACAATCATTTTGCTTTCATAGGTAAAACAGAAACATGGATACTTCTCATAAATAATGCAACCTGTGCTGCCCTTATATCAGTATCCTTTATCTTCTCACACTCTCCACATCCCACTAGAGCTGAAAGACAGCATGGTCATATATTCTTATATCACTCTGATGGAATTGGGTACCTAACCACATTTCCTTACCATATCTCCTCTAGAAACCCAAAGGCTCATATGCTTTGTTATAGTGAATTTGGCTAATATCTGCCACCTCATCCTTTACCAAACTTTTTTTTTTTTCCTAATGCTATAGTGTCCCTTTCCCCCTAGTGTCCCTTACCCGCCTCCAGCGAACAGAAGGTTAAAAGCAAAAGTGCTCTATCGATCTCCTCCTCCAGGAACATCACAATAATGAAAAAACATAACGTGTATGCACATTAAAGCTTCCCCATCGGAAAGCATTGGATCAATGATGCTTGAGGACACTTGATGCAAAGTATTACAATGCCCAATATAATTTCACAGAGTTAACCTCCATGAAAATCTAAGTACCTACATGGAAGACAGCCACTAGAGGTTGTTTTATCCCTGCATTGTAAATATTGTAATTTCTCTGAAATGGCAATGTTTTACATTACAAGGTTAAGGAGACAGGGACACTTTATCTAGGCCACTTCAATGAGTTGAAGTGGTTTGGGTGCCTATATTGTCCCATTTTGTGATTAAATCTGTGTATTATCAGTGCTGCCTGTGCTTTAGCTGTGACACAATTTCAGCAGTAAAACAAGCCCTAACCATCAGGAAGTATGTTAGAATGGGGGAGGGTGTGGGGCAAATATGTATTTATTTATTTTGTAAAAATACTACAACATTGAGTACATTCACATGTAATTAAATAAGCCAAAAGCTGTAAGGTGTAAATATGTTGTTTTTGGTATTTGGGGGTTTCCTCTACATCTAATGTTTTGGTTTTATTTTTGTAGGAAGTGACTCGCCTTCGTGCTCAGCTCGGTGCCAGAGTTAATGTGGAAGTCAATGCTGCGCCTGCAGTTAACCTCAACAAGGTTTTAACAGAAATTCGAGAAGAGTATGAAAAGTTGATGGAACGGAATATAAATGATGTGGAGAACCGGTTTATCAGTCAGGTGTAGCCTTTCTTTCTTTTCTTTTCTTTCTTTTGTTCTTTCTTTCTTTCTTTCTTTCTTTTTTTCTCATGACACAAAATAACTGTTTACTCTATTTTGTAAATCTCTTTTTTTTCTATCAGAGTGAAGAACTAAATAGCCAAGTGCTTGACAGAACTGAAAATTTAGAGTCCATGAAAAGTGAGACCATTGAGTTGCGCCATACTGTGCAAACCCTACAGATCGACCTACAAACTCAACTTAGCACAGTATGTTTTAATGATTTCAGCAAAAGAAAAGCGATCATTTGTAACATCATCATGTTTTGTGTCCATATCTCATTGCACAAAATCAAAACAATTTATTCTTTTAAATTCCAAGAACTTTGAAGTTCAATGAAATTGAAAAAACTTAAGGATGTAGGGCAGGGGTGGGCAACCAGATGTAGTGGACTACATCCCCCATGGCATCATGGGAGGTATAGTCCAAAACATCTGGTTGTCTATGCCTGCTGTAGGGTATGGCAAACCTTGATAACATCTGGATAATCCATAAAACAAAGTGAAATTTTATTTCAAATTTGAGGCAAACCAGAGCAGACAAATATGGGGTCCATTTGGAATCATAATGCTTAACATCTATGTGAAATTATGCATGGATAATATATATTGTATGCTTGAGCATGCAGGTATCATGTATAAAACAGCTAAAACAGGTGCCGTAGTGCACTGCCTTTGACTATCTTCTAGTGGCTGATAATGCTGCAGTGTGTACTTCATCCAGTAGAAATTAAAGGGTGTTAGTGCATAAACAGTGGCAAATTATACATTTTTGCAAAAATTTGTTTTGGCCAGCTCATTCAATGTTTTGGCCATATCCAAACCAATCGATCCATGTGGGATCTACCTGTTGATAAGACTCCACAGGTAAATTCTGGAAGAACCAATTAGTTTGGGTGTGGATTAAATGGAATTTGTTTCCAACGAAGCTGCCAAAACACATTTTTGGAGAAGTCTACTTACAATGATGACCATATATCTCAGTAAGAGCATTACAACAGTAATGTAGAATAATTATGACAGATTACCTAGAATTACAGAATTATGTATCTTCACATGCCATATGATGCCTCTTTTGATAGTTCTTTGACTGGGCAGGACTAGAAGATGAAGCCATATCCACCAGAGATAGTAACAAAGTTGGTGCCCAGAGGTCTGTCCAATGGCACACACCATTGGAATTAATTCAGTGGCTTCCCAGGACATCTTGCCGCATCCATGTCCACTTTTGACTTTACACCAAAATAGAACCAACCTTTTGTCAGATTAAGAGAGTTGAGCAGATTTATAAAAAAGGATGTGGAGTTCCTTGGCCACAAAATGAACCAGGTTCTTGGTGAACACCCCCTTCTCTTTCTTCCACCTGTAATACATTGACCTCCATTAGTATTTGCTTCCATATATTTACTATATGTCTTCATTAACAAAAATACACACACAATAATTTTCTAAAGATGGATATAATTTTATGTGTCACAAAACAATTTATTTTGGCACTGGGGCTTTAATTCAAATTTTTTTAGAGATATTTCTTTTCACCCATAATTATTTATCCATCTCAACCCTTATATAATGCATATTTCTATATTGTATTTATTTGAAGGATGGTAATAGGATTTGTAAACATGTTCATAACATGGAAGGCAAGATAGAATTAACCTTTCATTTGTTTTGCTCTGGTTTCTGGTTTTAGAATTGTGCCCTGGAGGATACTTTGACAGAGACAGAGAACATCTACAGATCCCAACTCTCCCAGTTACAAGGTTTTATTGACAGTATTGAAGACGAGCTTGGGCAGTTTAGATGGGACTTGGCACGTCAACATCACGAGTACAAGATTCTAATGGATGTCAAGACTCGCCTGGAGATGGAAATCGCCACTTATCGACGTCTTCTGGAAGGGGAAGACATTTAGTATGTATAGAAGGACGTAACGCCACATACATCTAATGCTATATTTTTATTGCCGATAATTGGTCATCAAAAAGGGCTTATATATTTTATTTATTCTTTTTTTCTTTATTTAATGATGGCACTGTGATAGCCAAGTCATATATTGTAATGAGGGGAAGTACCATCATTGGCTAACCAGTTATAATGCCATTGTAAGCTTTCAAGACTACTTATGTCTCTTCTTCAGACCTAATTATTAATCACCACAAAATTCTATCTTTGTCCAAACATGTATTTAAGAAGAGATGGGGCAGTCTTCCATATATTCTAAATTGAAAGGGGGAAAAAAGTAAAAATGTGTGACTTTCTGGGGGAGAAAATGTGAGGTAATGAATTGAATGTGTATTGCTAACTAAGTACCCAATTTAGTATTGTTGGATATTTATTTTTTTATTTTTCAAATTATGCAACATTTTGGGCTAAACTTTAAAATGATTTACCATTATGAAAAACATTGTCATTTTGTGATATTTTGATTTTTTTTTCTTTATATTTTTGATATTGTAATATTCTAAAAAAAATTTTAATAACTTTAGTCAAAAATGTTAAATGCTTTGTAAGGCTTATCCAACAATACTAAATCGAGACCCAAGTGTGCATGCCTTGTATAAATGCATGCCGTTACTATTATGTACATTCATTTAACAATATGCATACACGTGTACTCATACACAAGACACATTCTTTCACATATACCATACAGACAGAAGGTCTTTACCTATAATGGAGTATACATATGATGAAGATTGCATGGACCAGGTTGGACGTAAGACTTCCAAAACATATAATGCATCACTGGAGCCAATTCAACATTTTTAGAAATTTTGGCAATAAAAATATCACCTTCCCTAATAGTAAGCAGAGTTAAGGGGCTTGTTTGAAGTGTTTGTACTCTGATATTTTAAGCTGCGAGCGATTCTTTACATCCTTTGTTACAGCAAACCACTAAACGTTTCTCTGGATACCATTCTATTATAATTTAAGTACACTCACCAGAATGAATAACACTTTATGTTTGAACACACACAATATTCAGTATCGTGAACTTTAACCCTATGTATCTAAATATTTGTCTTTTCTTTCAGTGTTCCCTTATCCCATTACTCAGAAAACAAAGGTAAATATGATATGAATAATTTGAAAACCTTATTGTAACCCTCAAGATGATAAGGTAGACTGACTTGGAAATCCATCAACTGTTAGAAGAGTCAACTGTATGCCGAATTAAAAGTTTGCATAAGCCAGCATTTGTTTAGCAAGTCATACCATTGGCTAATCATCAGATGGTCTTTAAAACTGAGAGGTTGACAGTTGGTTATTCATGAAAAATGTTTAAAGTAAATATATTTATGGACCTCATAGGGTCAATGGATTTTTATCCTTCCGTGTAGAAAAACATCTCATGCTTTGTTATTAGACTGGACGTATTATTTTTCTCTATCGTACTTTGTATATTTCAGTTTATTAAACAATCCAGGAGTTTATGATTATGGAAGCAGTTAATGCTCTTAAGAGTTTAGTTTGTTCCCCTTCCCCAACCCTGATAAGTTGCTTCAATCTTTTGATCTAAGCAAATTTTGGCCAAGTCGGAAAAGCGAGAAGATTAGATTGTATTTCAAGGAAGAAGTAATTAGTTGTGTACATTTTATCCTGAAGTCATTGAAAATTCTGAAAACACGTTTGTCTGTCATAGGACAATATCTGACCTTTCACTAGGCACCTACATTGAAATAAAATATTGCAGGGCTGAACATATAATTATCAACTGTAAATATTACATACATGGAATCTTTTTTAATATCTAATTAATTTCTGTTTTAGACTCTCGCAGTGGATTGAAAATATTTTCCATCACAGAAGAGTTTGAAAATGGTAAAATTGTGAGCAAATCCACCATATTAAGAGATGATCTTAACTATAAAAATCTGAACATTCGAAATCTATAAACAATACATTACTATTAACTGATTATCTGATCATCAGTTTTTTTAGCATAAGAAATAATTTTGTAATTTAGTAAATAATATTTATTTCACTTCAACTCGCTTCGATTTCGATTAAATTGCTGATACCTTTCACTATAATATTACAACTTGATAATAATATAAAGCTATACACACCACACAAGAAGCAATTCTCACCCCACAAGCTTTCGGTACTTAAGAACTTTGCAATTGGAGCTGTACCAGCCATTGATAAACTATACTTTTTGCCTTTTAACACCTATACTAAGAGATATTAGTAAGGTGCTGCTAAAAAGATCAAAATATATAAACAATTCATAAAGGCACCATGATATGTCGCATAAAACAAATAATTTTATTCATTATACTATACTATAATTACTCTTTAGATTGTATGCATCATGTTTAGGAGCATATAACAACAACAACATATAATATTAAATGAATACTCCAAGCACCATAACCACTACATTTAGATGTAATATCTATGGTGCCAATAGTGCCCTGGTGATCTCCCAGAGTAAACGTTTAAGACTAATTTGACAACATGCCTCAGGTCCACTGGGTGTTCTGCCACTGAGCTAGGTTGAGAAATGTAGGGTTGTACCCACTGGCTGAGAGCGCTCAGTTGACACACTCAGCCAATGAGCCTTCCCTGTATGGAAGAGCTTAATTCAGTGGAGCTGATGGAAGCCCCATGCATCTGGGCAATGAGCATCTGGGTATGTTGTAAAACATTCTTAAACAGTTTGACTGCTTACTCAGGGAGGACGCTAGGTAATCCTGGTACCATAACTACTATAATAAGCTGTAATGGTTATGGTGTTTGGAGTATACCCAGGACCGGTGCAAGGATTTTGACTACACAGGGGAGAATGCATTTTGCCACCCCCACAGTTTCCCCCCCAAAAATGCATCTTCACCTGTGTCCCTTAATCCACCTTTTGAGTTTCTTACCCCCTTTATCTTATTTTTTCATTGTCTTTAGTGCATCATATCCCCTATTGTTTTACACTCCCCTTTAGTATACCTAATGCCCCCATTTCTTCCCTTTGTGTGTCTCTTACACCCCACAGTCCTTTTGTGTGCTTCTTACTTCCCTCCAGCCCTTTTGTGTTTCTCTTACTCCCCTCCAGCCCATTTATGTCTCTTTTGTTCCAGCCCCTTTGTGTGTCTCTTTCTCCACCCAGCCTCTTTATATGTGTTTTTCTCCACCCAACCCTTTTGTGTGTTTCTTTCTTCCTCCAGATTCTTTGTGTGTCTCTTTCTACCCCAACCCTTTTGTGTGTCTCTTTCTATCCCAGCTCCTTCGTGTGTCTCTTTCTCTTCTTCCCCATCCCCTCTGTCTCCTTCCCCACATCCCCTCTGTGTGTCACTTCTCCCAGCACCATGTCTCTTTCTCCCCACAGATTCTCTGTGTCTCTTTGTCATACCTAACACCCTTTGGGTGTCAGCCTTTCTGTGTGTCACTTCCCATTCTCCAGCCCCTTTGTGTTTCTTTCTCGCTATCCCCATCCTCTCTGTGTACCTCTTCCCCCTAGCCCCTTTTGTGTATTTATTTCTCCCTTTCCCCATCCCCATCCCTCTTTCTCCCCTCAGCCCATTTTGTGTATCTCTTCCTCCCATCCCCTCTGTGTCTCTTTTCCCCCAGCCCCTCTGTGTGTCACTTCCCCCAGCACCTTGTCTCTATCTCTCCACAGCCTCTCTGTGTCTCTTTGTCCCTGAAAAACCTCTGGGTGTGTCGCACCCCCAGGCCATACTTGTCTCTTCTACCCTTACCCAGCCCTTGGCTGTCTCTTTTTCCCCTTCCTCAGCCTCTCTGTGTCCTTTTGTACCCCGAGCCCCTCTGTGTGTCTCTTTCTCTCTCCAGCACCTTTGGTGTGTCTCTTCCCCCACTTCACAGTCCCTCTGTGTGTCTCTTTCCCCTAGCACCCCTTTTGTGTTTCTTTTACTTCCCTCCAGTCCCTTTGTGTGTCTCTTACTCCCCTCCAGCCCATTTATGTATCTTTTACTCCAGCCCCTTTGTGTGTCTCTTTCTCCACCCAGCCCCTTTGTGTGTCTCTTTCTCCACCCAGCCTCTTTGTGCGTCTTTTTCTCCACTCAACCCTTTTGTGTGTTTCTTCCTTCCTCCAGATTCTTTGTGTGTTTCTTTCTACCCCAACCCTTTTGTGTGTCTCCTTCTTTCCCATCTCCTTTGTGTGTCTCTTTCTCCTCTTCCTCATCTCCTCTGTCTCTTTCCCCCCCACCCCCTCTGTGTGTCACTTCTCCCAGCACCATGTCTCTTTCTCCCCACAGCTTATCTGTGTCTCTTTGTCATACCCTAAACACCCTTTGGGTGTCAGCCTTTCTGTGTGTCACTTCCCATCCTCCAGCCCCTTTGTGTTTCTTTCTCCCTTTCCCCATCCTCTCTGTGTACCTCTTCCCCCTAGCCCCTTTTGTGTATTTATTTCTTCTTTCCCCATGTCTCTTTCTCCCCTCAGTCCCTTTTGTGTATCTCTTCCTCCCATCCCTTCTTTGTCTCTTTCCCCCAGCACCTTGCCTCTATCTCTCCACAGCCTCTCTGTATCTCTTTGTCCGTGTGTTGCACCTTCAGGCCATGCTTGTCTTTTCTACCCCTTACCCAGCCCCTGTCGGTCTGTTACTTCCCCTCCTCAGCCTCTCTGTGTCCTTTTGTACCCCCAGCCCCTCTGTGTTTTTCATTCTCTCTCCAGCCTCTTTTGTGTGTCTCTTCCCCCACTTCTCAGTCCTTCTGTGTGTCTCTTTCCCCCGGCACCTTGTCTCTTTCACCCCCAGCTTCTCTATGTCTATTTTTGTTCCCTGCAGCCCCTCCATTCCATGTGTCTCATTTTCTCCCCACCATGAGTCTCATTCCCTCAGCCCCACATGTACCTCATTCCTCCACTTCCCATGTGTCTCAGTCCCCCAGCCCCCCATGTGTCACAATTCCCCCATCCCTTCCATATGTCTCATTCCCCTAGTCCTCAGAAGTGTCTAATTATCCCAGCCCCCATGTGTCTCATTCTCCCACCACCTCATTTGCCTAATTCCCCCAGCCCCACATGTGTCTCATTCCCCCACTCCCCATGTGTCTCAGTCCTCCAGCTCCCCATGTGTCTCATTCCCCCATCCCTTCCATGTGTCTCATTTCCTCACTCCCTCATGTGTCCCCTGCAGCCCCTCCATTCCACGTGTCTCATTTTCTCCCCACCATGAGTCTCATTCCCTCAGCCCCACATGTATCTCATTCCTCCACTCCCCATGTGTCTCAGTCCCCCAGCCCTCCATGTGTCACAATTCCCCCATCCCTTCCATGTGTCTCATTCCCCTAGTCCCCAGAAGTGTCTAATTATCCCAGCCCCCATGTGTCTCATTCTCCCACCCCCTCATTTGCCTAATTCCTCCAGCCCCACATGTGTCTCATTCCCCCACTCCCCATGTGTCTCAGTCCTCCAGCTCCCCATGTGTCTCATTCCCCCATCCCTTCCATGTATCTCATTTCCTCACTCCCTCATGTGTCTTATTCCCCCAGCCATCACATGTCTCATTCCCCCAAATTCCCAATGTGCCTCATTCCCCCATTCCCTTCAAATGTGTCTCATTTGCTCAGATCCCCATGTGTCTCATTCCACCAGCTCCCCATCCCCATATGTCACATTTCCTCTCTCCTCTGTGCGTATTACCCCCTTTCCACCTCCCCCCATGCATCTCCTCACCTCCCTCCCTGTGTAGAGTGAGTAAACCACGGGCCGGGGTAGAGGAGCTTCAGGAACTTCTCCCAGTTCTGACAGGAAGCGGTTCGGCGCCGCCTGCATGTATTTCCTGTCAGACCAGGGTAAAGGTTACTGAAACTCCTCTACCCCGTCCTACAGCTTGGCCACGCTACACAAGAGTGACTCGCTATAGGGGAGCATTGTGCTGTGCGCTCCGCTCCTGCCGGTCAGCCGGATCTTGCACCCTAATAAGACCAGATGACTATATGAGGTTTAAAGCCAACCTTTACCCCACACATTTTTTCATGTGTATTTACATTCCATTCCCTCTCAACTTATTTACCAGCCTCGGAAAGTATTCATTAACTCATAAATTTATTAATTAATAATATTTAATTGAATTGTTAACCTTTAATTTCTGACACTCAACCATTTTCACAATGGATTCATATAACAGCCACTCATCAAATGAGTAAACCACAAAAACCAACAAAATACTGTATGTACATTGCACTCAAAAATGTAACTAAATGCATTAACAGATATCTGACAAACAAACACTTTTTTTTATTGATGTTGGTATGTTATGTGATCATAAATTGTAATTAATTTATTTTTCTAATTTGCCTTGTTTATTTGTACAATAAAATGTTGTATATTTTTTTGTTTCTTCTTTAATTTATTAAATAAAAAATTCCTGTTTCAATTACATCTGTGTCCATCACTGATCGAGTAGATCCGGAGACGCTATAAATGAAGTGAAATATTAATAAGCATACACAGCTTTTCAAAAAGAGTGTGCATATAAGGAACATTTAATTTTTGGGGGCGTTTCGTTCTGATATAGGTTCAGCCGGATCCCCAGATTTTTTTTTATATTACTTTATTTTTATTTGTTATATTTTACCTCATTTTTTAGGTTATAACTATACTGTACTTACAAGTACATACTTAATAAATGAGACAATAAATATTACAATTCTGCCACAATAATAATAATCAACTGTAAAATCCAAATTAACCTAAATACATAAAGGGAATCAACACAGTGAAGGAGGAGACTATCTTTAAAAGAAAAAAAACTACAACAAGTTTACATAGTCTTAACTTAGAGGGGCAAAGGTTTAAAAATAATTTCAGAAAGTATTAATTTACTGGGAGGGTAGTGGATGCATGGAATAGCCTTCCAGCTGAAGTGGTAGATGTTAACACAGTGAGGGAGTTTAAGCATGCGTGGGATAGGCATAAGGCTATCTTAGAGACCCGTTTGCTGTTTCCAATGCAGAGAAAATATCATTTCACTGAGCTAAGCTTGGTGATATAGGGCTTATCTGAATGAGAAATCCGATAAACCTCTCAGACAATGAGCTGGCTTAAGTTATGAGCAAGAAAATATTTAACATCTATAAAATGTTCGGAAACTCTTAATATTAAATGCTAAGCAAGCTTACTGGTCACATTACTAAAACCCTCTTACTTTACAGTTCTCCTTAGCTATGTGAGGTTGGCACCCAATGTTTTTAAAAGGTGAATAAAAATACTCTATTTTGCTTAAATGCGCCAATTTATGTTTTTTAGGAGTAAGCCAGCCAAGGATTAACATTGCACCAAAATGTGGCAGTAAGGTTGTAAGGTTGTTAACATTGCACTAAAGAGGTTATTGCGACACAGAGGGTTAACATGGCAACATACAAGTTAATACAGCATACAAGGGATTATTGAAGCTTAAAGGATTACTCCAAGCACCAGGACCACTCAATGATCTGAAGTGGTTATGGTGCCCAAAGTCTGTATGTACTGCATTTCGCTATGAAATGCTGCACATTCCAAGTGTAACCCCTCTGTAGCAGTCATGATGCCAGGAGTGCCATCCGTTAATGGGTTAACTATTTAGCAATGGTTTGCCCCTTTACCTGCATTCCCCACCAAAGAGGCCCCTTGGCGGTCTAGTGACTTGCTTATAGCAGCAGCCATCACCATTCATTGGCTGAGAGCGTCAACTGACTGCTCTCAGCCAATGACTGTCGTTCTTCAGTCCTGGGCTGCCTGGTGTTGTTTTATGAGACAAAAATCAACACAAACAAATTAAAAATTTGTATTCACATTTTAAGTCCACGGATGCAAAGTGGGTGGAGTTGATCAAATACAATGCACAATTTCAACTAAAAGCAAACTGGTACAAATGCTAATTTTTTGTGGCACAAATCAGCACAAAGGCAGCACAAACAAATGGTGTTTTTATTTTTAAAATGTAATAACATGGGGTCGAAAGTGGGAGGGGTTTGATAAAAATCTAATGCGCAATATCTCTCTCTCAAATCAGCACAAACGAATGGTGTATTTTTATTCACTTTTTAAAAACATGGGGTACATACAAAGGATATATGGAGATCCTCATTCAGAAAAGGATTTAAAGGATAACACTAACTTCACAAGTACCTTATATTTACCTTTTGATCACAACATGCTCCATTATTTTTTAAGATTTATATGAAAGATTTATCAATTTACATCATAATCCAGTACAGACAAGGCAAAGCTAGTGCAAACATAGAAACATAAAATGTGACGGCAGATAAGAACCATTTGGCCCATTTAGTTTGCCCAATTTTCTAATTACTCTCATTAGTCCCTGTCCTTATCTTATAGCTAGGATAGCCTTATACCTATCCCACGCATGCTTAAACGCCTTCACTGTGTTAACAAGTGCAAATGAAGAGGGCAAATAGAAACATTGCTTCATTTCTCCTCTTTTCTGAAAGCACAGATGATTGACAGGGAGCTCATATGGAGGTGTCCAGTTTCAGGATAAAGAAATGTGGGTGCACAACTCCTCCCTGTGATTGCCACCTTCCTAAGAGTCACGTTATAAAACACTGGTAAATGTACTAATAAACTTTCAAATTAATGTTATAACACATCACTCCATGTATGTACGTAGCGGGGAATGTGGTGCGACTAAAAGAAAGACTACCCACTTATCCCCCCAATAATGACAGACAATGCATATTGGATGAAACAGGCCACAGCATTTATTAAAACTTACAACTGTAGGACACATCCGAACTTTATTCTTTTCCTTTAATTCCAATATAAATAAACACATAAATATATATACATACCATAATTAACATATAAATTAACACTTATTGCCCTACAGCCTTCATCTTAAATAACCGTCCTTGACAACGAACTTAACCAGGTGCCTATGCACCAAAAACTTTACCCACTGGTGTCTCGCCTCCCCCCTCGTCAAAACCAAATTCCCATCATCTTAAATGCTCTAACCACCAGCCGGCTCTTAGCTCGGTGGGCATGTCCAATTCGGTAACTTGAAAGTTTACCTTACAGAGCAGGGGAGGTTGAGACCCACCTTGTCCATCTCCTGACCTTCCATCTGCTCCCCAACCCTGTTGGCAAGGACACGCTCCCCGCTAGCTGTGACGAAACAAAAAACATAAATTAGGGTGGGTGGGAGGGAAGTTGTTTGCTGGCCTGAATCCCAAAAGGCACTGAGGTAAGATGATCCCTGCCCCACTACAAACACATAACCACTCCCCTAAACACATACAGCCAATCACTAGCACCATCCCCACACTCATACATGTGCCCTTGTCCGTTTAGCTGTGCTGACTCCCCAGGGCCTCGTTTGGTGGTACCTATTTTTGCCACTATAGAGTACCCTTGTACTGTAATCACGTGTTAGTTATTAAATGAACATTAAGCACCATAAACACTACAGCACTCTGGGGTGATATGTAGTTAAACCATTTGCTAAAGGTCCTTTTTTTTTACTTGGGGTCCACCGGTTGTAAGCTGAGTGACTGAAGAATTCCCACCATATAGCATGAGTAAAGGATCATAATACATGACGGTTCTCCAACACAAAATAATGGGGAGCTGGGGGAGCACCTGGAACATTCATTTCTCAGTAGTGGTGCTGTCGTAAAGACCAAAATATATACAAAATACAAATTTCTAAGTAATATTGCTGCCACATAGATGAAAATATTTACAAAATAGAAATTAAGAAACAGTGCACATACAAAGAAAAATGAAAACAATGCAGTTTTAAATTTTACAAGACTACCTAAAATCACATATTTTAGCAAACGAATCTGGGGATTCCGTTAGACCATCAGGCCATATTGTGTTAAGCCCACCACTACGTCACAGTACCCCAATATCGGTGGGCCCTATAATAATTTTAACATGAGAGATAAACACTCTGACTGCTTAAACAGCTTCCAGAGACTCTCCTCGATTTATACTTTCCTGTGGTAACCTCAAATTGGGCACCTATGATTGGAGGGGCGGATTTTTAGCCCAAAAGGAGTCTGGTCTGACACACTCCACTGTAAGTAGTCAAACTATTTTTCTAACTTTAATTTTAGCTACTCTAGTCTTAAATTTGTGATTTTTCAGATCAACAGTAGGTCTACATTATGCAACAAGACAGGCCTTTTGCTATTCTGTATTACTCAGGGACCTTACCATTATCATATAACTTTACCTTATCATACCTTTATTATATTTATACATAAAACGTGAAACCAACTATAATGGAAACATATCTGTGAACTGATGTCCTTTCTTAACCTGGGAGAAGAAGGTATTCTTAATTGTAACTTGAGATCCTAAAAAAACAAAAGAAGACAAATTTTAAAAAATCAAAGATGTCCACTAAATCAACCTTACCATTTAGCAAAAGTGACTCACAAGTGAGCTCAATGTGAGTCACTTTTGCTAAACATAAAACAAATCTAGTGCAGTATTTGCAATATACTAGATGCAAAATAAATAAAGGTAGACACACTCACAATCTTCAGAGCCCAATGATAAGGCTGTATAGTAACACTGCTGTGCTGTTATAGGCAGGGCTGCCATCAGAAATTGTGGGGCCCCTGACACAGCTCAAGGTCTGGCCCCCCCGGTGCCTGCACCCAAGTCCGCCCAAAGTGCTGCGGCCCCCCCCTCCCCCCCTCCCCCCGAGTCCGCCCACAGGAATGCAGTGTCTGCAGGGCCGGTGCAAGGATTTTTGCCGCCCTAGGCAAAAGTAAAGTTTGCCGCCCCCCCCTCCATGTGACATCACAATGCCCCACCCATATGATCTGCCATGTTAACTAACGCTAGTGCTGCAGTGCCGCCGTGTTTACATTAAAAGGCCTGCAGGGACAGGCTAGACACCAGAACCACTACATTAAGCTGTAGTGGTTCTGGGGACTATAGTGTCCCTTTAATGTGAGGTAAATTAGAGATTAGTGCCACAAATAATATACTAGATTGCCTACTTACAACCAGATGAGGATGATGATGGGCTCTAGCTCCCGCCTGGCTCCACTGGTCTGGTGTAGAACAGGCTCTCTGGAGGCGGTTTGTAACTGTGGTCACAAAAATCAATGTTCTAGGATCAATGGGAAGCAGCTCAATTTTTTTGAGGGCCCTTTACACAGCTCAATGTCTGGGTCCCAGGATCCACCTTCATGTTCCACCAATGAGTTTGTTCACAGGGGGTGAAGTGTGTGTGGGGGGGATGTCCTGATGTGTGTAAGGAATGCATTGTGTGAATCTGTGTTTGTATGTGTAAGGGCTGCAAGGTGAGTTTGTATATGTATGGGATGCAGTG